ATATATAAAACAAATCTTAAAGACTTAAAGGAAGAAACTGACTTTAATACAATAATGATAGAGGTCTTCAATACCCCCACTTACATCAGTGCATAGATCATCCAGACAGATAATTGATAAGGAAACACTATTCTCGACACATTAGACCAGATGGACTTAATGCATATACACAGCACGTTTGACCCAAAAACTGCTGAATGCACTTTTTTTTCAGTGGCACATGGAACATTCTTCAGGGCAGATCATATATTAGGCCACAAACAAATCTCAATAAATTTAAAACAACTTAAATCATGTCGGCCATCTTTTCCAACAACAGTGTGAAATTAGAAATCATTTACAAGAAGAAAACTAGAAAAAAAAAGAAATATTACTACACAGCAAATGGGTAAACAAAGACAGCAAAGAAATCAAAAAATACTTTGAGACAAATGAAAATACAACTTTTTAAAACTGCAACAAAAGCAGTTCTAAGAGGGAAGTTCATAGCAATACAAACCTACCTAAAGAAACAAGAAAAACGAGGCGCCTGTGTGGCTCAGTGGGTTAAAGCCTCTGCCTTCGGCTCAGGTCATGATCTCAGGGTCCTGGGATCGAGTCCCGCATCGGGCTCTCTGCTCAGCAGGGAACCTGCTTCTTCCTCTCTCTCTGCCTGCTTCTTTGCCTACTTGTGATCTCTGTCTGTCAAATAAATAGATAAAATCTTTAAAAAAAAAAAAAAGAAAGAAAGAAAGAAACAAGAAACACCCCAAGTAAACAATCTAACCTAAACTAGAAAAAGGACAATGAAGGCCAAAGTTAGTAGAAGGAAGGAAATAATAAAGATTAGGGTGGAAATAATTGAAATAAACTTAAAAAAATCAATGAAACTAAAACCTGATTCTTTGAAAAGCTAAAATTGAAAAACTCGAGCCAGACTCATCAAGAAAAAAAGGGCTCAAATGAAAAAAGAAAGGGCTCAAATGAATAAAAGCAAAAATGAAAGAGAAGTTACAACTAAAACCACAAAAATATATAGGAGACTATGTAACATAGGAGACTACCTAGAAGAAATGGATAAATTCCTAGAAACATACAACCTTCCAAGACTGAATCACAAAGAAATAGAAAATCTAAATGTACCAATTTCAAGTAACAAAATTAAATCTGTAATTTAAAAACTCTCAGAAAACAAAAGTCCAAGACCAGACTGCTTCATATATGAATTCCATAAAACATTTAAAGAAAAGTTAGTAACTATCCTTCTCAAGTTATTCCAAAAAATTAAAAAGGAAGAAATGCTTCCAAACTCATTTTACAAGACCAGCAGAATCAAAGATACCACTTTTAAAACGGCCAATATCCCCAGTGAACACAGATGCAAAAATCCTCTTCAAAATAGTAGCAAATCAAAATCAACAATACATTAATAGGTTCATACTCCATGATCCAGTGAAATTTACCGACATAATACACCACATTAACAAGACTAAAGATAAAAATGTGATCATCTAAATAGATACAAAAAAGCATTTGACATATATAACATCCATTTATGATAAAAACCCTAATGGAGCAATTACAGAAAGAACATACCAAGTATAATACAGGCCTGATATGATAAACCCTCAGCTAACATTATACTCAATGGTGAAAAGCTGTAAGCTTTTCCTCTAACATCAGAAACAAGACAAGGATACACATTCTCACAAATTATTCATGATAGGGAAATCCTAGCCACATCAATTAGGCAAGAAAAAAAAATCAAAGGCATCTAAATTGAAAAAGGAGTAAAATTGTTACTAATTACAGATGACATAATATCATATACAGAAAACCATAAGGCTCCACCAAAAAAACTGTTAAACTAATAAAATAATTCAGTAAAGTCAAAAGATACAAAATGAACATATGGAGAAATCTGTTTCATTTCTATACACTAATAACAAGCTATCAGAAAGAGAAATCAAGAAAACAATCCCATTTAAAATTGCATCAAAAAGTTATACCTAGAAAAAAAATTAACCTGTGAAAGACCTGTACTCTGAAGAGGACAAAATGAAAAATACTGAAGACAACACAAATAAATGGAAATTAATATACTGTGTTCATGGACTGGAAGAATTAATATTGTTAGAATGTCTATACTACACAAAGCAATCTATGTACTTAATGCAGTCCCTATCAGGGCACCTGGATGGCTCAGTCAGTTAAGTGACTACCTTCAGCTCAGGTCATGATCCCAGAGTCCTGGGATCAAGTCCCACATCAGGCTCCCTGCCTTGCAGGAAGTACACGCCTCCCTCTGCCTCTCCCCCCAATTTGTTCTCACAATCTGTTTCTTGCTCACTCTCACTCTCTCAACCAAAGGAAATTAAAAAAAAAAAAAAAAAAAGGAATTAATGCAATCCATTTCAAAATACCAATGGCATTTTTAACAGAACTAGAACAAAAAATCCTGAAATGCGTATGGAACCACAAAAGACCCTAAATAGCCAAAGTGATCTTTAAAAAAACAAACCTAGCAGTTATCAGGCTCCCTGACTTCAAAACATGTTAAAAGCTATACTAATAAAAACAGCATGGTACTGGTACAAAAAAACACACATACGTCAATGGAACAGGATAGAGAGCCCAAAAATAAAGCCACACATACACAATCACCATTTGGCAACTGCCTTAATAATAACTGACTTGGGCAGATTCATCAATAGATGCAGTATTAGTTTTCTATTGCTGCTTTCGGAAATGTCAGTTTCATGAAAGACCAGTAAAGACCCAGGAACTTCCAAATTAAAGGATTCTAAAGAGGGGCGCCTGGATGGCAGAATGGGTTAAGCTTCTGACTCTGGGTTTCGGCTCAGGATGTAATCTCAGAATCCTGAGAACAAGCCCATATTGGGCTCTGTGCTGAGCGCAGAGTCTGCTTGAGATTCTCTCTTCCTCTCCCTCTGCCCCTCCTGCTTATACTCTCTCTCTCTCTCTCTCTCACACACACAAATAAATAATAAAATAATCTTTTTTTTAAAAAGTATACTAAAGAGACACAACAACTAAATATAAGTAATGATCCAGAATTTTATTTTGCTATGAAGGAGGTTTCTAGGATAACTGGTAAAACCTGAATAAAGTGTATGGATTAGATACTAGTTTATATCAATAACAGTAATATATCAATGTTAAGTACCTATTTTGACAATTACATTATGAGAAAATTTATTTGTTTTCAGGAAATATAAAATTAAATTATTTCAGAGCAATTTATTTTCTCCTAAATTATTTTCAAATGATTTTTAAAGAATTATGTATAGATATAAATATTTACACACACAAACACACAGAGAACAGATACATGAATACTTCGTATGATTCTTGCAACTTTAAGAGAAAAAAATCCCACGGTACAGCTCATAAACAAAAAAGCATAAAAAAGCTGAAGATAATTGAGGAGATAAAGAAATTCCATATGAAGTTGAAGTCAAGGTAATAGAATTGTTCAGACTAGAAACTGAACATGAAAGGAACCGTAACTGAAGATATTCACTAGAATGGGAGAGAAAAACTTAGTTTTAAAAAGCTGTTAAAAGGAAATGTCGGGGGTTCCTGGGTGGCTCAGTGGGTTAAGCCGCTGCCTTCGGCTCAGGTCATGGTCCCAGGGTCCTGGGATCGAGTCCCGCATGGGGCTCTCTGCTCAGCAGGGAGCCTGCTTCTCCCTTGCCCCACCCTCTCTGCCTTCCTCTTTGCCTACTTGTGATCTCTGTCAAATAAATAAATAAAATCTTTAAAAAAAAAAAAAAAGGAAATGTTGGGCACCTGGGTGGCTCAGTTGGTTAGGCTACTGCCTTTGGCTCAAGTCATTATCCTAGAGTCCCGGGATTGAGACCCACATCAGGCTCCCTGCTTGGCAGGGAGTCTGCTTCTCCCTCTAATCCTCCCTCTTCTCATGCTCTGTCTCATTCTCTCTCTCTCAAATAAATAAATAAAATCTTTAAAAAAAAAAAAAAAAGGAAATGTCCTCTCAGAAATTAATTGAACTGATTACTCTAAGAGGTGACATAAACAAAAAAGGTGACATAAAACAAATTTTAAATGGATTAGACAAATTCATTCATAGCAGCTACTGAGGGAAACTATGCATGCCTCAGAGATCCTGCAGTTCAGTTCCAGACCACCACAACAAAGCTAATATCACTTTTAATAAAGCGAGTCAAATTAATACTGGGGCTTCCCAGTGCATGTAACAGTTATGTTTACACTATACTGTAGTCAACTGAGTATGCAATAGCATTATGTCTAAGAAAACAACATACATACTTCATTGCTAAAAATTGCTAACCGTCATCTGACTTTCATTGAGTCATAATCTCTATGCACAGATCACCAAAACAAATAATGAAAATGTTTGAAATACTGCAAAATGTGACACAAAGTGAGCAAATGCTGTTGGAAAAATGATACCAACAGATGCGCTCAATGCAGAGTTGCCACAAACCTTCAATTATTTTTTAAAAAGGCAATATCTGCAAAGTACAATAAAATGACACACAATAAAACAAGGTACGCCCATATTTTGGCACGTATTTCTAAACTTTAAAATGTGTTATCAAAGGAAGGAAAAGGGTTGCCCTTTGGTGTTAAAGAAATATCCCTCAACTGGTTCAGTCAGTAACCTCAGTCATTAATAAATATATTATATTCTTATTACCTATATGTCATTCTAGTGCAAGAGAATTACCTAATTAGGGGAATGAAAAATTGAAACTATTTTAGTAGTTTCAGACAACCTACATCTCAAACTAATACTTTTAGCAATGTAACCAGAATGTAAAAAGGACAATTAGCTCTTAGAAAAGTATGGGTGCATGGATGGCTCAGTCAGGTAAGCACCTGACTCTTGGTGTCAGCTCAGGTCTTGATCTCAAAGTCGTGAGTTCAGGCCCCACATTGGGGTTCAAGCTGGAAATTAAAGAAAAAAAAAAAAAACCCAAGGCGTATCTAATAGACAATTTATTTACACTTACCTGTTACTTCTTTTAACTGATTTGTTCTGCCATGGTGGATCTATCACAATTACATCATATGTTTTCCTACCTGAAAAGAAATACCCAACTTCAGAAAATACCTACCTTCTGTAGGTGATCACTTTAAAAACTAAAGTGCATTGACTATAGACACAAATATAATGGAATGCAACAAAAGCACTTAACAACATTTATTCAAATGGAATAATTGAATCTAAAAAAATTGAGATTTCCCTTATAATTTAGTACCACTGGGATTTTAACCTAAGTTCACCTATTCCTATTTTTGCAAAGACTACCTGAAAATAACTATAGCTCACTTAGCTGGACACCAACCATTTGTAAATGTCTTTTATGTCTTGACAGCCATATTAACGTGATCCTTTCAAACCTAAATGGGTTTTTTATTGTTGTTGTGTTTTGTTTTTGTCATTTTTTTGCTTTCGTTTTTTTAAGCTTCGATTTGAAATAATTTATCTTAAAACTGATACACTGACCTTGGTAAAACTTCCTCAATTTACAGGTGTCTTTTTTTCTGGCCCAGGATCCAAAGCAGAATCACACATTGCATCTAATTGCCACGTCTCCTCAATCTCTTCCAATCTGGGAAAGTTCCTCAGTCTTTTTTTGTCACTCATGACCTTGACACTTTGAAGGCTACTGGCCAGTTATTTTATAGAATGTCTCTTAATTTAGGTTTGGTACTTCCTCGTGATTAAACTTAGATTATTAATTTTTAGCAAGAACACTACCAACTAATCAGGAAATACACGATGTCAAAATGTCTCATTATTGGCGATACTACCTTTAATCACTTGGTTAAAGGGTTGTCTACCAGGTTTCTCCAGTTTTCACTTTGTAATTAGTAAGTATCTTGTAAGGAGATACTTTAAGACTGTGCAAATATCCTGTGTCTCATCTTTTCATCTACTATTTTGACATCTAATTACCATGATGTTTGCCAAATAGAAACTTTCTAGTTCTATCATTCCACCCACATTTTTTAACTTGAATTTTACTATAAGGAAGAGCTGTCCCTTCTGCTTTTTATAAACATATGTATATTTTGGTATATGTACAGTTTTACAAGCAATCAAAACAGTGCAAATTAAAATAAGGAAGTAATGGTTTTTAAACTATTAAAGTGACAAAAACCAAAAAGAACAGAAAACAACATTCAAACATAACTTTCCCATTAATTTATTACCCTGTCATTTACCCTAAAGAATTTATGACACTGTGACATGAATGACCACTCATATGTAACATGGCTTGACAGAAATTAAAAGAAGCATTTCCTTAATGAATATGTCATTTTATAAATTAAAAGTTTTTATATTAAATATCCAAATAACAATATCATATTAAGGTAAACTTCATCAATACATTTCTTTTCCTACTTCAGCCCTTAGAATATTATGACTTATTAAATACGTATAAATCCCTGCCATAAGCAATTGATGCAGATGCCCTTCAGAAGGAGATTATTATCATAACCATTTTATAAACTAGGAAACTGAGGCTCAGTTTTGTAAGTGAATAGCTCGAAGATTAACAGTTAAGCTTTAGAATCTAAATTCAAATTCAGGTATATATGAATGTGAATTTCAATCTTTAAATTTTGTTGACATTATATAGGAAAATATTTCAAGAAACTTTAGACAATAAACTAGAACACTAGCTTAAACTGTAACTTAAAAGGCTATAGTGTTAATATTTATATCTGAAGTGTTCCTACTTCACTATAAAGAAAAGTTAAATAAAATTGTTTGGCCAAGCCCAGCTACATCATGACTTCGTAAGTACAGAGCAGCAATTTACATTTGCTTTCACAGGGACAATTACTTTTTGACCCTTTGTTCATTAGACTCATTTTTTAATTTTTTCAAAAATTTTAAATGTTTTTAAATCAAAAGACCTTTAAAATTAAAAGAAAAAATCACACAGAGAAAATTAAGCATTTACTCTATCCTCAGAATGTTGACCCACATTCAGCATTCAGACTAGCTCTTGACTTCTGAGGCCACAAAAAAAATTATATTTTTCTAATAACATAGTAGTTACTTACAGTTCAGAAGTGGATGCATGCAAGAAATGTCAGACAAAAGAAAACTGCTTTTTGGTGGCACCAGGTATTTCTGTCCCATTAAAGTAATCATTTTTGTAATGCTAGAGTTGTTTTCAACAACCCGTGAAAATAAATCCTGTTCTGTAACAGACATATCTTCATCCATCAATTGTAACACCTGAAGTTCCATTTCATTCAGAGAAGGCAACTGCTTTGCCATTGCACATAATTCTGACAAATTGCAGGTATCAAGTGGTAAAGTAATGGGCTCACTACACTTGTCCCATTTTTCAGAAAGTGGATGAAGAAAGCCACTTTTGAGACCTTCTTGGATTAACTCTGAAGAGCCATCCAAAATCAGTCCCCTGATCTGTAAGAAAAATTTGTTAAGGTACATTAAAAGGTCATTTACATTAAGACAATTCTCTAAATAATGAAATTCAACTATGCTTTGAATATTTGAACTTATGGATTGAAATCAGTATTTTAAAACACTAAAATAATTTTATGATAAAATGTAAAGGCAAGAATGTGTGAGTATACCTTTGAATTGCTGTTTCCTAAATGTGGAATAAAATAAACCTCATAAATTCACTTACAATTAAATAACCAAACAATATACGTAAAAAACACATTCTTAAAAATGTATTAAGATAGGTGGGAAATAAATAAATAAATATGAATTTGATAACATGAATGTTTCTAGAAGAAAGCAGAATTTCTAATCTATAAAGCAAACTAAGCTTAGATCACATTTAATATTATATTTTTCTAATGATCTAATTTTAAAATAAACTTACCTTTGAATCTGTATTTCTTAAATTGTAAAGAAAAAAAGTAACCATTAAATGAACATATAAACAAAGTTTTGCGAAAATACAACTACAATCATTAGAAAATTAAAATCTAAGTTCCACTTCCGGGCAAGGCAATACCAGAGGTCAAATTTAACTTTTCATCTAAATTACTTTTTTAAAAAAGTATAAAGTGTAGGGGCGCCTGGGTGGCTCAGTGGGTTAAAGCCTCTGCCTTCGGCTCAAGTCGTGATCCCAGGGTCCTGGGATTGAGCCCCGCATCGGGCTCTTTGCTCAGCAGGGAGCCTGCTTCCTCTCCCTCTGTCTGCCTCTCTGCCTACTTGTGATCTCTGTCTGTCAAGTAAATAAATAAAATCTTTAAAAAAAAATTAAAAATTAAAAAATTAAAATAAAAAAGCATAAAGTGTAATTTTTTTAAAAGCCTTTCAAACTTTAGGTGGATGTCAAGTAGTGAAAAATACTGGCCCCTAAGAAAGGAGAAATGAATGATTGTTCCAGTTTACTGCCTTGAGAAAGTTTTCAGGCAGCAGCAGAGCAAAAGTTTTCAGAGACCAAAAGTCTCTGAGTAGAGAAGATGGAGCTCAAAGTCTGAAAAGGTCAAAGCAGCTAGAGTTTGCAGGGCAGGATACCAAAGAGGAGAGAGGTGTACAAAGAGAGAATTCTTAAAAGCTGCAGAAGGTCCACTCAAATCTCCCCAAGGTCAGGGAAAGAAATTATGTCAAATGTTCAGAGGAAACAATCCACAGAGCTCACACCGGGACAGGAACAGTGCTCCCATTAGCCAGAATGGAACTCTCCTAATTACAAGGCATCAGGTAGACCTCTCAAAAGGGTACTGCCTCCTGAGTCAGGAAAAAAAAAAAAAATAGCTCCAAAAACTGCTCTGGTCTTAACTAAAAAAAATCTTAAAACAAGCTTCAAAACTTAAAAAAAAAAAGTCACAGAAGGATCAAACATTTCTTCTTCTTCTTTTTTTTAAACCCAGATATTAGGAAGGTTTAAATTCCTTGATGTTGCTCACATATTTCCATTGGACAGCACTGTTTTAGTTGTTGTTGCTGTTATTGTTGTTTAAAGATTTAATTTATTTATTTGACAGAGAAGAGTGACAGAGAGAGGGGGGAAACACAAGCAGGGGAAGTGAGAGGGGGAGAAGCAGGCTTCCCGCTGAGCAGGGAGCCTGATGTGGGATTTGATTCCAGAACGCTGAGATCATGACCTGAGCTGAAGGCAGATGCTTAATGCCTAGAGCCACCCAGGCATCCCAGATCAACCATTTTCAAAATAACTTTCTCCAAGAACAAATTTCAAGAATATTTATAGGAATATGAAAATATCTAGTACCTAAGAACTAAAATTGAAATGTTACACAAAAAAAATGGAAAATTACCAGATATATAAAGAAGCAGGAAAATGCAATACATTACGGAGGAATAATCACTCAATAGAAACACACAAGAATAACACAGATGAACAAACAGCAGAAAAGGCTGGATAGGTTTACTTGCAGCCCATTAAAAGATTAGGAACAGGGGCGCCTGGGTGGCTCAGTGGGTTAAAGCCTCTGCCTTCTGCTCAGGTCATGATCTAGGGTCCTGGGATCAAGCCCCACATCAGGCTCTCTGCTCGGCGGGGAGCCTGCTTCCCCCTCTCTCTCCCTGCCTGCCTCTCTGCCTACTTGTGATCTCTGTCTGTCAAATAAATAAATAAAATCTTCAAAAAAAAAAAGATTAGGAACAAAAGTAGAATATAATAAGGCACTTATCATAACCATATTCATATGTTCAAAAAATGTACAGGAAAAAATGAGAATGTTAAAGAGACACAAAAACTACTAACCAATATCAAGAGTTTCCACAGGGAAAAAACTGCATACCACAGGAATATTGCGGGTTGAGTTACAGACCACTGGAATAAAGCCAACTTATTGCAATAAGTAAGTAAATAAATAAATAAATCATCTGAAGCCAAGGTCTGTAAGCTGCAAAAGATTCACCTGTATTTTATAAATCAGACTATATATTCTTTTCTATAATCATTATCTTTTTTGTCCCCCTTGGTGCAGTCCTCAAAATATGCTATTTGGACTACCTCCGTTGGCATCACCTGGAAGTTGTTAAAAATAAAAATTCCTACTCCCATACAGGAGATAGTGGGGTTTTAGTTCCCCGCCACCACAATAAAGTGACTATAGCAATAACGTAAGTCAAATTTATTTTTTGGATTTCAGTGCAAATAAAAGTGATATTTATACTGTTCAACAGCAGTACAGCCTTAAAAACAATGTATATACCTTAACTTAAAAATACCTTATTGCTAAAAAATGCAAACTATCATCTGAAATTTCAGCAAGTAATATTCTTTTTGTGGGTGGAGAGTCTTGCCTCCATGTGGATAGCTATTGACTCATTAGGGTGGTGGTTTTTGAAGGTTGAGGTAGCCATGGCAATTTTTTAAAACAAGACAACAATGAAGTTTGCTGCATCAATTGACTCTTCGTGCATGCTCTTTGATAGCATTTTACCCACAGTAGAACGTCTTTCCAAATTGGGAGTCAATCCTCTCAAACCCTGTTGCTGCTTCGCCAGCTAAGTTTATGGAAGTCCTCTTTGTCCTTTCAACAATGTTCACAGCATCGTCACCAGGAGTGGATTCCACCTGAAGGAAACATTTTCTTTGTCCATAAGAACCAACCCCTCATCCACTAAAGCTCTGTCATGAGCTTGCAGCAATGTGGTCCCATCTTCAAGCTCCACTTGTAATTCTAGTTCTCTTGCTATTTCCACCACATCTGCAATGACTTCCTCCACGGAAATCTGGAACCCCTTAAAGTCATCCCTTAGAGTTGGAATTAATTAGGAATTCCTCCACATTCCTGGTAATTTTGATATTTTGACCTCTTCCCGTGAATCACAAATGTTCTTAATGGCATCTACAATAGTGAATCTTTTCCAGAAAACTTTTCATCGACTTTGTGGCCAGATGCATCAGAAGAATCACTGTCTGTGGAAGCTATAGCCCTATGAGATGTATTTCTTCAATAATAAGACTTGAGTCAAAATTACTCCTTGATCTGTGAGCTGCCAGATGTATTTTATGTTAGCAGGCATGAAAACAACATACATCCAAGTGCACATCTCCATCAGAACTCTTGGCTCACCAGGTGCACTATTAATAAGTACCATTTTGAAAGGAATCTTTTCTTCTGAGCAGTGGGTCTCAACAGTGGGTTTAAAAGATTCAGTAAGCCACGCTGTAAACAGATGTGCTGTCATCCAGGCTTTGTTCTTCCACTTAGAGAGCAAACACATAGTAAACTTAGCATAATTTTTTTTAAAGATTTATTTATTTATTTTCGATAAAGAGAGAGAACATGAGCAGGAGGAGAGGCAGAGGGAAAGGGAGAAAATCCTCAAGCAGATGCCCTGCTAATCATGGAACTCATGGAACCTGATACAGGGCTTGATCCCAGGACCTGGAGATCATGACCCAAACTGAAATCAAGAGTCGGAGATTTAACCAACTGAGCCACCAGGTGCCCTAACTTAGCATAGTACTTAAGAGACTGAGGATCTTCAGAATGGTAAATGAGCATTGTCTTCAACTTAAAATCACCAGCATCAGTAGCCCCTAGCAAGAGAGCCAGCCTATTCTTTCAAACTTTGAAGTTAGGCATTCTTCTATCTAGCTGTAAAATTCCTAGATGCCATCTTCTTCCAATAGAAGGCTGCTTCGTCTACATTGAAAATCTGTTTAGTGTAGCCACCTTCAATAATGGTCTTAGCTACATCATCTGGATTACTTGCTACAGCTTCTCCATCAGCACTTACTGCTTCACCTTGCACTCTGATGTTAGGGAGACAGCTTCTTAAACCTCATAAACCAACCTCTACCAACTTCAAACTCTTCTACAACTTCCTCATCCATCTTCTCAGCCTTCATAGAACTGAAGAGAGTTAGGGCCTTGCTCTGGATTAGGCTTTGGCTTAAGGGAATATTGTGGCTGGTTCAATCTTCTAACCAGACCATTCAAATTTTCTCCATATCAGCAATAAGGCTGATTTCACTTGTCATTCATATGCTCACTGGGTTAGGACTTTAAATTTCCTTCAAGAACTTTTGCTTTGCATTCACAATTTCACCAACACTTTGGTGAAAGGGACCTAGTTTTCAGCATATCTCAGCTTTTGATCTGCCTTCTTCACTGAACTTAATCATTTCCAGCTTTTGATTTAAAGCATAAGACATGTTGGAGTTCCTGGGTGGCTCAGTTGGTTAAGCATGCAACTCTTGATTTCAGCTCAGGTCATCCCAGAGTCATGAGATCAAGCCCCGGTCATGCTCTGCACTGGCTGTGGAGCCTGTTTAAGAGTCTCTCTCTCCCTCTCCCCTGCCCCCTCCCCACCCCACAGTCTCTTAAAAAAAAAAAATTAGGAGCATCTGGGTGGCTCAGTCAGTTAACCACCTGCCTTCAGCTCAGGTCATGATCCCAGGGTCCTGGGATTAGAGCTCCACATCAGGCTCCCTGCTCAGCAGGGTTTCTGCTTCCCCCTTT